GTTTTTCAGTCTAATTTCATAGAAAAAAAAGAGAGGGGTGTTAATAGCATTTACAAAAAACACAGCTTTTTTTTTGTTCAGAAGAGATAGTAGACCCAGCAGGAAGATATATAATCCTAATAGGTAATATTTTTGACACTATAGTAACACTTGTCACATATCATGCCCCGAACACTAGACAAACGCGTTGTTTTCCCCATTTGTTGGGAGTAGTTGATAAACACATGCAAGGCACTTTATGGATGATGGGAGACTCCAACCTGGTTTTAGATGTTAGACTGGACAGGTTGGAATCTCGAGTTACACTTTCCACTTCTTATAACCACTCTGCACTTTTTTGTACAATGTTAACTGAATACAATTTGATAGATATATGGAGGGAAAAAATCCCCCACAACTCGTGAATATACCCACTATTCTTGTCCTCACAAATGTTCTTCTCGAATAGATCACTTTTTTACACACCCAAGTTTTCTTTCTTCAGTTCTCAAGGCTCGTATTCTTTCGACTTCGTGGTCAGACCACTCTCCTTTATTGATAAAATACATATCCTTTTCCCCTGTACCCCCACATTTTAATTGGAGAATGAACGACTCTCTTCTTACATTCTCAGTTTTAGTAGAGCAAATACAAACATTTATCTCCTCCTTTTTTAGGGAAAATGAGGGATCGGTTTCATCTCCGATCCCTCTATGGGAAGCATATAAGACAGTTCTGCGGGGAGAACTTATAAGTTTGGCATCTAGACGAAAAAAGGAGAGAAGTAAAACATTTTTAGTCCTTACTTACTGCCTAGAAGGATTAGGATCCGACTGGAGAAACAATCCCACAACGGCCACTCGAAGAAAAATTGATTCTGTTAAAACAGAAATGAACCTGATATTAAATAACGAAGTAGAAAAGCATATTCATTGGTCAAAATGCATGTTTTATGCATGCGCTAATAAACCTGGGCCAATGATGGTGAACATGCTGAAATCAAAACCAAAAACGCCATACCAGATTAGACTACGTCTCCCAGATGGCTCGACTACAGCTAATCCCGCAACAATTGTTTGTTAGATTTACTTCTCTCCTTTCTAAGATATATGGTAAAACTTCTGGGTTCCAACCTCATTTAGCTGATCAGTTAATGTCGAGAGTGTCGCTAACTCCTTTCACTGAACACATGACAACTATTATGGATGCAGATGTTTCCATATTGGAAGTAAAACAAGCCATTAAAACGTTAAAGATACATAAGACACCAGGTCCAGATGGATTCCCAGCATTATATTATAAAAAGTTTTCAAATAATCTGGCACCTCACCTAGTAGCACTGTTTAACCACCTGAAAGGGGGTCATGCTTTTCACCCCTCCTCCCTGTTGGCTCACATAGTGATGATTCCTAAACCGGGCAAAGATAATACGGACCCTCATAACTATAGACCAATCTCCTTATTGAACATAGATATAAAGCTATTTTCAAAACTTTTGCCAGCTCTCATTCACCGAGACCAAGTAGGTTTTGTTCCCTACTAGGCAAGCATCAGATAATACACGTAAAATTGCACATCTTATCCATCATATGCATGATGCGAAAATTTCAGGTATGCTATTATCTCTAGACCTTCAAAAAGCATTCGATCTTGTCTCCTGGGATTATTTATTTTATATTCTAAAGAAATGGGGATTTTCTGATAGTTTTTTAGTCTGGTTACAGACCTTATATCGAGGTTCTTCTGCTTCAGTACGTTACCTTCACTATAACTCGCACCCATTTTCTATACTAGGAGGTACCCGCCAAGGATGTCCCCTCTCCCCACTTTTGTTTGTTCTCGCAATAGAGCCACTGGCCTGTCTTATACATACTAATATGGACGTGCGAGGTGTAGAGAAGGGACACATAGAGTATAAACTCCACATGTTTGCAGATGATCTGATGCTCACACTGACTAACCCTCACATTTCACTTCCTAATCTGTTTCATGACTTAAACTTTTTTGCAAAAATTTCCAACTTAAAGGTTAATGAGACTAAGTCAACTGCCCTCAATATCTCACTGTCACACATTGAAGTTACTACATTACAACAAAATTTTCCTTTTGAATGGAGGTCCTCGCATTTATTATATCTTGGAATTAACATTCCGAAAAAAAATTATAAAGTCAATTATATATCCCTGTTTAGACAAATGCAGGAATTATTGCTAACCTGGACGAGACATAAACACTCATGGATAGGTAGAATTAATGCAATTAAAATGTCAATATTAGCAAAAGTACTTTATCTGTTTCGAACTATACCAGTTGTATTCCAAAGTATATCATTCACTCATTTCAGAACAGAGTTTCTTCCTTTGTATGGAACAATAAGCGCCCCAGGGTTCCCAAAACTACAATGTATATGCACAGGGAACAGCTAGGCCTCCCAAATTTCTATAAATATTATCAAGCAGCACAAATAGTTCTGTTAATAAACTTCTATACGACCTTATACCGACCACTCTGGGTAGACTTAGAAGAATACATCTGTTCACCTGTTTCATTAAGGGCCATTCCTTGGCTGCCGGCTAGGCTACGTCCAAAAACAATGAGCCCCATCTTGAAACATATGATTAAAATATGGGATAATACAAAACGTTATAGTAAATTCCAATCCTCTCATATACCATTACTTCCTATTGTAGGTAACCCTTTCTTTCTACCGGGAATGGGAAAGACAAAGTCCTTTGTTTGGTGGACCTCTCAAAAGGTGACATGCCTACATCATTTGGTGGAGAACGGCACAATTTGTACCTGGTCCCATTTTTTAAATAATTTACAAGCTCCAGATACGGAATATTTCAGATATCTACAACTTAGACATTGGGCTGCATCAACGCTCCCTAAAGCTCCATTTATATCAGAATTAACGGTTTTTGAGAATATCTGTCTAAACCATCCTACAACTCCTAAACTTATTTCAATACTCTACTCCCAATTAAATAGGTTATCGACGCCCGATAACCATAAACATGTACAGAATTGTGAAAGAGAGCTTGGAATGACTAGACAACGAAAGGAATGGCAAAAAACCTGGCAATCAATAACTACTTGTTCTATAAATGTAATATCTTTAGAAATGGTATTTAAATCTTTAACCAGATGGTATTTGGTGCCCTCAAGGTTGGCTCATCTCCACTCGACACTCTCGGATCTTTGTTTCCGAGGATGTGCCTCCAGGGGAGATGTTATTCATACCTGGTGGACCTGCCCAAAACTGGATAGGTTTTGGTCGAAAGTATTTCAGCTGATTGGGGACCTCTTCTTGGCCAATGTGGAAAGAGACCCATGGGTAGCCCTATTACATTTTAAATCCTCTTCCTTTACCAACTTACAACATAAACTGGTGATTTATGTTATGTTGGCGGCCAAACAGACCATTGCCCAGGCCTGGAAGAAACCATAAGTGCTTTTTAGAGACGTAAAAAAAAGAATGGACTCCTTTTTTATTAATGAAAAATTGACTAGCATTTTATTAGACTCTAACAAAAAAATTTCAGGATTTGGGAACCCTGGATGGCCTATGCGCATCCATCACTTTTCTGTAATAGATATGATTTAAGTGTCATTACATTTTTTTTGGTTTTGTTTTGTTTCGATTCGTGTTGTTGTTTTGACTTGTGCTGTTGTTTATCCTGTGCTGTTTTGATGATTTGGTTGGGTTGTTCTGATAGTGACGATATGGCGGGGAGGGTCAGCAGGGAGGAATTGATCATGTTTATCCTTGTAGACTATCGATGCCAATGTTTGTATATGGATGTTTTGTAATATAAAACTAATAAAATCTTTGAAAGAGAAGTGCATTAAATGTGAGTGATATAATGTGTGGTGGTTTATATGCACACTGTTATTACATTAAGTTTTTTTTTTTCATTTCAAACTATGCAGCAGCATGCTGCAAACAAAAAAGTTAGCTTAAAGAACATATGTACAGTAACAAGTAAATGCTGGGCTTTAAGTACCCCAAACGTAGAGAAAGCAAAGCCCCATTAACAATCAATCCACTAGACATCATTCAGTCTATGTCACTTTTTATTTGCAAAAAATTAAATAGTGTATGGTCAAAATCATTAAAGGAGTCAAAGGACTGGCATTTTACTAGGGTATAGTACAGTGATGTAGAAGCTAAAAAAGCTCACTCAATCAATAAGAAGGTGTGTATGTAAGGTGATTAAGAGTGAAGGTGGCAAAGCTTGTACGCACTTAGTGCATCGTTTAGCTTTGCTGATACTCAACCATTAACTTCAATGAAAGGAGAAGAGACCTGTAGGCTCTGTACTTTTCATTTACTGTTGTGCGTTTTTTTCCCCATCGGCACAGGCAGTGAAACTCCAGAATTCGGGACCTCACCCGACCTCTCTACCTTACTGCTGTATGCTGCTCTTTATTGATGGCAGTAAAGATCTGTGGTTGAAAGTAAGAGCTGCCTGCAAAGTTCAGTTAGTGATATTACAAATGTACCCCTAAAAACAGGTACACATTATTGTATTTGATACTCTGTACACAGGGGAGTTTTAAGGACAATAAATTTCCTGAGAATCAGGGTGTTCTGGGCACCCATCAGTAAAAAGGTCAGTGTACCACTTTGTGGCCACAATATTAAAAAGTATGCTAGAGCTCTATTTGTCCACTGCTTATTGTTTCAAATGACTGTTGCCTGCACAGGATGCTCACCTTGTCCCACTTCCCAGCAACACAGTATGCAAAAGTAAGGAGATAGCGGTCTTACTTACACAAGACTCTAGGATTCCAAAAATAGCATTAAGCAGAATAATTTTAAAGTGGTCTGGGTGCCTAGCTGATGCCCTAGGCCATGGCCTATGTGGTCTAGTTAGAAATCTGGCCCTAATCATCACTCTCCGTACCAATTTGTAAAGCATTTTTAAATGAAAATTGAGAACTAAAAAGGACAGCATCGTGTAATGTGGATGTCATCTTGATGTATTGAGACATATTCCTCCCTCTTTTAATTGCAGGTTTACAGCAAATCTCATCTCCGGAGTGCTTGATTACAAAACTTTACTGGATCTGTAAGTTATGGTTTCTCAAATATATTGTAGATCAAATATTTTTCAGCAATTAAAAGATAACATTAATAAAGGGTAATAACTCTCAGCTTATTTCGGTTTTAATTTGTTTATTTGTTTGAAGGCTAACGTGTTACTTGTAACAAATATACAAATATAATCTTTAAAAAAAACAATTAATATACATATTAGCTTTTCCTCGAATGGAATGCACAAATAAATACATTTAACTTGGATTCTAATTGTAAATCATAAATACAACATCAGTATTTTAGTGTAGTCACTAAAATCGACTTTCATATATAACAGGCATTGTTTATCAACCAAGTTATAACTCCTTTGCTGGCAAAACAAACAGGCATTGGTAGCAAAGATGGAGTCTAAATATTAATAGTTACAATATGCTACACATGTATATGGGTTACAGAGAATGACCACTAGGGTTTGGGGAATACCAGAAGAACAGGTATTTTACAGGCATTTTACAGACTAACAACCTTGGACTATTATATGGGGTATAGAAAAAAAAATCAGGTGTTATTTTATGAAACGATATTAAGCCACCACAAAGTGTGAACATTTGGAGACAGTGGTGTAGCACAGCAATTAAAATGCTGTGTGGAAGTCTTTAAGTCTAATTAATACATATTTTAATGTACTATGAAGAAACTTGTCAAGGCACCCAAGATTTTTCTTTTGATGTAGAAAAAAAACATCCCAAAAATGTAAATATATTCATCACATTATATTTTTGTACTGCACACATTACAGGAGGGCAGACATTAACCCTAATTTTACAGTGGATTGACCGAATAAGTTGTACTCTGATGTAGTGGCACCCCTGATGTGCCTATGTAACAGATGGCCAGTTTCTCTGGAGGAGACGAACAAGTGATGGATGAAGGGCCACTATAATTTATGTAAAAACAGCATGGGAAAATATGCATCTCTGAAATGTAAAGTGCAAATATCACTGATGTGAGCAGAAGAGATTTCTGGATTTACAAATTGTTACTTGACACATGGCAATGGCATGGCTCCAATGTGACCTGCAAGCATATAGGAAAGTGTATTTTTCTACTTACAGATTAATAAACATTGTTATTACTATTTTTATAGCTACTTTTTAAGCCTTTCCTAAAATTAAGAAAAGGCCAATATGCATCCCAGTACCTGACATCATTATGAAAATGTTTGTGCCAACCCCATATATTTTATCATTGAAAATATTGCAAATCCTAAAGTTGTACCCTAATTTGGTCTTTCTCAGATAAGACCTAAAAAGGTGGATGATTGGTCACATGCAGAAAGTATTTTGTCATATTTGCTATTACACGTTCCAAAATGTGCTATATTTCTATAGGAAATTAACCAGAAAAGAGTTGCCCTTTGTTGGAAATATTATCATACAAACATGTACATAAAATTACAACATTTTACTAATAAATCTCATAAAAACCATTAACCTTTAACACAATGCAGTGCTGAAGAATCATTGTCTCAACATGTTTTTCACTATTATCATTTCTTATAATTTTTGTATGTTTGTAGCTTGACTTTAGCAAAGCAGGTGTGGTGTGACACCTGTTTAGAGCCCCTCCCCAGGGAGTTGTTTTTTTCAAAATTCTTGCTATCCTTCTATAGAAAATATGAACATCAAAAAATCAGGAGACAGAAAGAGAAGCAAAGAATACAGTGGCCTCTTGATGTAACCACGGGTACATGAAAGTTCTCACTTAGACACAAAACCTGACCTTTAACCTTAACTCAGGCTGATCCTCCAGCATTGCCAAATAGTAATAAATGATAGATAGGCAACAGTATCACAAGTAATAGGAACAAACACAACTGCAAACAAGTTACACGAGTGGGCATAGGCAGGAGTAACGGAAACAGGATTGATAACACCAGGCATAGCTGAACAGCAAGGTTGCATGTAGAAAGGCCAGATATCGGAGAGAAGTCAAAAGGCTCAACTAAAACAGAAAGGCTGACTATAGGAGTGACATAACCTGCAGCAAATGAATAGAGAAGCAAGATGTACAAGACATAGAATTGCTTCAGGAGCTTGAGCAGGATCAACAAGACAGTAAAAGTATGTTTGTAACCTCAACTACATTTGAGTAACCAGTTTTTTGTTTTTTTATTCCTCTTACTGCAGGCATGCTTTGCCAACAGACTATGCTCGTGGTCAGCTATCCGGTCAGCCTATGTGTATGAAGCAGTACTATGGGCTCTTCTCATCTTACCGTCTTCCAGGTGGCACCAAAGATACATTAGTGGCACAAGAGAGCAGTGTTATGCCAGAACCAGAGCATATAATTGTTGCATGTAACAACCAGGTATATTATTATGAAGTTATTCAGACCATTGGATGCTTTACCACTATGCTGAAAGAATGTGTTATTTAAGACTGCATTATGGGTTTTTAATAAAACTTGTCAAGAGTGCAAACAAATCCCCCCACCTACCCAAGCAGCTACGACTCTACTGTCCTTATGCCCAGGGTTCCCCATTGTTAACCTGAGTAATGTTCTAGGTTAGTATTCAACATCTTAAAGAAAAACTATAAGGACTAAAAACATTTGTAAAATAACCACCATTTTTAAATGCATGCACCATCAGGTGTCTTCAGGTGATTGTCTAGTGTTTCATAATCCTTCCCTGTGTGCTCTGGGATCCCCTCTGATTTTCACAAAACACCAAAATAAGCCTCAACTTTCCCACCTTGGAGCTCTGCCTTCACCTCTACTTCTATAAACAAAAGAGAGCTGTGTGTGTCTGTGTAAAATAGATGTCTGAGCTGTCTGAAGTGCTGGATCTCCATAAGGACACCTTTACTGTGCGCCCCAGCCTAACAGGTCTAGCTGTGCACCATGCAGACACAGGGAGCCATAGTCCTGCCAGGCAGTCAGCATATAGGGTCTCCCTAGAAGTCCAGGCAGACAGCAAGAAGATTGATGAAATGCTGGCACTGGGGGTGATACATAAGTCTTAGATTGCATGGGCTGTAGTGCTACTTCCCAAACGGGACCAGACTACTGGACTAATACTGCTTACCCATGCTTATCCTTGTTTCGACACAAAATATACATAGTGAAGGTAATCCTTCACCACTACAGGACTTTGGGAGTATCCCAGTAGCCTTAAAATGGTTTAAAAAAAACTGAAGGCAGCAGCAGGAGCCATGAGCTTGTCTCTTTTTTTTGTTAAGCAGGCTCCCAGCACTGTAGTAAAAGTCATCTGGGTGGCTGTGGAGCCAACCCTGCTGGACCCCCTCTCCCCCCGTGGTTCCTTGGCTCTCCTGCTCCTCCTGGGAGCCTGGGACCACAACAACACCCGTGTCATCCCAAACACATTCAAATGTAAATGCATGCATTTATGTCTATGTAAACAACAAGTGCACACATATATTTGGTATCGGCACACATGCTGCAGTGAGACAAATAATTCTAGGTCCCTCATATACACCAATCAGCCATAACATTATGACCACTGAGAGGTAAAGTGAATAACATTGTTTATCTCATCACAATGGCACCTGGAAGTGGGTGGAATATTAAGGGCAGCAAGTGAACATTTTGTTCCTAAAGTTTATGTGTTGGAAACAGAAAAAATTGGCAACCGTAAGGATTTAAGCAACAAGGACCAAATTGTGATAGTTAAATGACTGGGTCAGAGCAACTCCAAAACTGCAGCTCTTCCCAGTCTGCAGCGGTCAGGACCTACCAAAAGTGGTCCAAGGCTCACTGATGCACATGGGAAGCTAAGGCTGCCCTGTGTAGTCTGATCCAATAGAAGAGCTACTGTAACTCAAATTGTTGAAAAAGTTAATGTTGGTTCTGATAGAAAGGTGTCTGAATTGCAGTTTGTTGCATATGGGGCTGTGTAGCAGCAGACTGGTCTCCAGATCTCAATTCATTCGAGCATTTATGGGATGTGCTAGAAAAGGGGACTAGTGGAATCCATGCCTCAATGGGTCTGGGCTGTTTTGAAAAAGAAGAAAAGGGGAGCCTATTCAATATTAGACGAGTGGTCATAAGGTTATGACTGATAGGTATATGGTTAACTCTAAACTGATGAGCTGTATAGGCATATTAATCATTTTGTGCACTGCAATTTTTTGCCATTTCGTGGGCACACGCAGTCTTAAAGCTTCAGTACCAGTTTACTAGACACAACCTAATCTTTTATCCGTTATGAAATAATTGGACATTATATTGTGTTTGAGTGCACTAAAATTCATTTTGGTATAGTTTTTACTAAAAATAGTGATTTCAGAAACAGTTGTGCAAATATCACCCAAAAAATTGCAACTACCATTCTTTTATTCTACAGGGCCTCTGCTTTCAGAAATATATAATGTTTTAAGGGTTTTAAGTAACTGTCTAGCCAAAAATGCAGATTATTAACAAGCATAAAACGAAAAAATTGCTACATTAGCAAACTAGTTATAGAAGAAGTTATACTGATATTATTAACTATAATATGTTACCATATTCTGTGATGTTACCATTTTTATGGAAATTCACCTCTATTAGGTACTTAAAGCACTGTTTGTAAACAATATCTTTATAAACAGACTTGACTATTTATAGAATCTTATTGGTATATAAATATTACTCATCTTGATCCTCATAGCATTTTCCTTGTTTCAACTGCCATCTGATAGTATGTGGAGTTAATCTGGCAATCTGTGTTAGTTCTTGTTATAGATTTACATGGTTACTAAACACCAAAACAGGATGTACAGCAAGGGAGCATGCCATATACAGTATTTTAACAGTATAGTTATTACCTTTATTATGATTTGCTAGAAAATTACTAAAACAGAGACATTTTCACATTTATATAAAATACTTGTGCTCAAAAGTTTGCATACCCTGGCAGAAATCGTGAAATTTTGGCATTGATATTGAAAATATGACTGATCATTCTAAAAAAACTTTTATTTAGGGATAGTGATCATATAAAGCCATTTATTATCACATAGTTGTTAGGCTCCTTTTTAAATCATAATGATAACAGAAATCGCCCAAATGGCCCTCATCAAAAGCTTACATACTCTGGAATGTTTGGCCTTGTTACAGATATACAAGGTGACACACACAGGTTAAAATGGCAATTAAAGGTTAATTTCCCAAATCTGTGGCTTGTTAAATTGCAATTAGTGTCTGTATATAAATAGTCAATGAGTTTGTTAGCTCTCACGTAGATGTACTGAGCAGGCCAGATACTGACCCATGGAGAGCAGAAATGAACTGTCAAAAGACCCGCGTGACAAGGTAATGGAACTTTATAAAGATGGAAAAGGATATCCAAAACCTTGAAAATCCCAGCCAGTACTGTTCAATCACTTATTAAAAAGTGGAAAATTCAGGCATCTCTTGATACCAAGCCAAGGTCGGTTAGACCAAGAAAGATTGCAGCCACAACTCCCAAAAGAATTGTTTGGGATACAAAGCAAGCTGAAGAGAAATACAGGCTGCTCTGGAAAAAGATGGTGCGGTTGTTTCAACGAACACAATACGACAATACTTGAACAAAAATAAGCTGCGTGGTCGAGTTGACAGAAAGAAGCCTTTACTGCTTACAATATGCCTGACAACACCTTGACACGCCTCACAGCTTCTGGCACACTGTAGTTTGGAGAGGGGTCAACAAGGCCTATAGCTGCAAGAATATCATCCCCACTGTGAAGCATGGTGGTGGCTCACTGATGTTTTGAGGGGCTGTCAGCTATAAAGGCATGGGGAATCTTGTGAAAATAGATGGTTGACCTTCCAGTGGTTACAGCAGAAAAAGGTGAAGGTACTGGAGTGGCCATCACAATCTCCTGACCTTAATATCATCAAGCCACTCTGGGGAGATCTCAAACGTGCGGTTCATGCAAGTCAACCAAAGACTTTGCATGACCGAGAGGCATTTTGCCAAGATGAATGCAAGCTGCAAGAATTCGGGGCCTCATAGACAACTATTACAAAAGACTGCACACTGTCATTGATGCTAAAGGGGGCAATACACAGTATTAAGAACTAATTGTATGTAGACTTTTGAACAGGGGTCATTTCTTTTTTTGATTTATTTGTTGCCATGTTTTGTTTTATGATTGTGCCATTCTGTTATGACCTACAGTTTAATGTGAATCCCAAAAGAAATGTGTTTTGCCTGCTCACTCATTTTTTCTTTAAAAATGGTATTACCAATATTACCAATTCCCCAAGGGTATGCAAACTTTTGAGCACAACTATATGTTGTATCACAGCTACTAAGTGATTGCAGTTTGCAACATTACATACCGGCCATAACTTGTTTCAAACTGATGCATTATCATCTGTTTTGCAGTTCTTTGTATTAGATGTTGTCATCAACTTCCGCCGTCTCAGTGAAGGGGATTTGTTTACTCAGCTCAAGAAAATAGTTAGGATGGCAGAAAATGAAGATGAGAGACTTCCACCAATTGGACTATTGACATCCGATGGAAGATCAGAATGGGCTCAAGCAAGGGAGATTCTGATGAAAGGTAAGACATACATTTTACTGGATGATTTTTTAAAATAAATCTACAAAATCAGTTCTCAGAAAAAAATAAAGGAAAATAATTTAATTACAGGTAAAATGATATACACACACACTATAGATCTGCAAACCATAGTACTGAAACAAAGTCTTTGCTGCCGAAGCTTCCTCAGCTGATCAGTACAAGATGATGAAGCTTCATCTGTAGTATTTTCAGCAGGGTAGTAAATTAGAACAAATTTAACAACAGATGCTAATGCATCATTTGAAGCTAAATCTCTTAAAGAAATTAATTTATCTTTACTTATATTTTACTATATTTACATCCAGTATGACAAGCATTGTGTTGATGGCGACAGAATAAATCTAGAAAAGTGAATATGGGCTATTAATGTTAAACAGATCAACATTAAAAAAAACACTCTTTCTTGAGAGAGACATGCAGGCTGCCATTGCTACTTCTCATTTTGTAAATACTAGTTTCCTTGCTGTCCCTCTTGCTTCAATGCATTTCTTATCTGAAACAAGCATGCAATAAGAATGTCTGACTTTAAGGATTTGCATACCTGTTCCAGATCAGTAACTCAAAGCAAATCAGGCCCAGTTGGCAAGTTTACTAGTGGCCATGACATGTAAAAGGTTTGCTTTAGGGTAAATTCTCATTATAAGCCAAGAAAAAACAACAACTTATTATTTGTAAACCAACAGGATCTTCCCTTATTGTGTTTAAAGGAGAACTATGACCTAAGGGCAAATAAACATACCCATTACCTTTAGTCTATTAGCAGTATTCATTATTTCCAAAGACGAAGCGCATCTGAGAAAAACTCATCTTAAATCATAGAAAACGGGCCATCTGCAGCCCTGCTTCCAGCTCATTTCCTGTTAGGGGGTGTTAACAGTTAATGCAGCCCTCCATCAGCTTTTTTTTTCTAAATGTAAATCTGTTGTGGCCGCTCTCTATAAGCGTTCACAGCTATGTGGGTGGCCGGAGTGCTAATGAGCCAGAGAGAAGCTCTTGTTTTCACTGCACAGCACATGGAGAAGGCGGGGACAGAGGAAGGAGAAGGGGAGGCAGATAGGAGAGACAGGGCTCCACAGCAGCGCATGCCTGAAAGGCAGGCACAGAGGACGGGGACGAGGAGGTAGGGAGAGGGACGCGCAGCAGCTCTTCAGAAGTGCCGTCAGTCAAACTGACGAGATCAGTAGGGAGGATCCAGACAGTATTGTCGGGATCTCTCCTCATTGCTGTGCTTAGCCCTGCTAATCATCCTAAAGAGGTTTTTACAGCCTTAGGGTGCATTTTGGCTAATAGGACTGAATTACAATATTTACTCCTTTAGCCTAAGGAATACAAAATTGGAGATAAGCTTGGACCCCATAGTTCTCCTTTAAAGTTAACCTGTCAGATCCCTAAAGTGTCAAATTTTACAACACTGCTAAACTGCAGGCACCCTGGGTATGTGGCCTGGCCTGTAATGAGGTGAGATGTGCCCAGAAGAGAATTTGCTCAGTAAGTATTAGATTCATTTTTCAGCTCCCTCTTCACTTGCAACAACTCCACCTGCTTTGCAGGATTACAGCATTACTGTAACCATACTGGATAATATGGAACACCAAAAATAGGTCAAAGAATCCCTTTAGGCTCAAAAGATTCCAGGGTAAGGAACAATATGGTTGTGCACATGAATACAAGATATTGTTTCCGATCATAGAAGCTAGACTACTGAGTGGCGTTAAGGAGGATATTTGACTGCTGAGGCAAGACATGCACTAATCTAGAAGTCCCATATCATCTGCTTAGAAGATTCTTTCCCACTATAAATGCAAACATGCATCACATAGAATACACTGACTATTTTGCAAAAGAAGCAACTAAACTACCATAACCAGGATTTTGTTCTTCAAGCAGCAAGGATGAAATAGAGCATCTCTTATGTTCAAGAAACTTTTGGACGATTTCTTAAGGGACCGTAATATACAGGGGTACGGGTACTCCTAGAATGAGATCCTAATAGGTTGGACTTGATGGACTAATGTCTTTATTCAACCTCAAATACTATGTAACTATGTTATGAAAATTCTACTAAAATTAAATGCACCGTATTGCCTTCCACGCAATGATTTATCTAGCTATTTATTTTCTAGCTATGAGGATTTTGTAACTATGAACTTTTATTCATGCTCAGTGCTCCTACTGCTCATCAACACAACAAATCTTTCCTCATTTTACAAACTTAAATATGTCAGTTAAAAGAACTTTTAGGCTTTTAACATTTTAGACTTGACTTAATTGGTTGGGACTATTATACCCTACCATGGGAGAATGTGAAGTTACCCAAACTAAATAAGCTGTTGGGTGTCAGTGGCGTAACAACCGGGGGGCAGCAGGCAGCAGGGGCGCGGGCCCCGGGCGAAAAGTGAAGGGGGAGCGCCGGCCGAAAATTGCACTTTCGGCTAAATGCCGAAAGTGAAATTTTCCTGCCGTTTTGTCGGCGCGGCCGTGATTCCTTTCATCCCCGCTGGGACACAGAGCAGTGCCCAGCAGGGATGAAAGGAATCAGAGAGAAAATGACAGCCGGCCGAGCGCTGTGGGACGAGCGCTGTGAGCGGCCGGTGTCTTTCCTCCCACACCGCTCGGCCGCCTATCACAGTGCAGCAGAGCGGTGTGGGGGCGGAGACAGCCAGCGCTGTCACAGGAGGCTGGGCTCTCCTCTTGCAGCCTCCTATGACAGTGTGTGTCAGAGAGGAGAACGGGTACAAGCACTCAGCGATCAGTGATCGCTGAGTGTTTGTACATAATTGAGGACCTGGTATGTATACTGTATCCTCAATTATGAATGAATGGGAGTGATCTACATCTCCTCCTGTTCATTCATAATTGTAGTTATAGTAAACATACCATGTTATCAATGAACAGGAACACTCATAAAGGATTCCTGTTCATTGATAACAGGGGACACAGAAAAAGAGATTGAGGACTCTGTGTCCTCAATCTCTTTTTCTATTTTTAAAGGGAAATATCAGGGGTCTGTTTAGACCCCCAATATTTCCCCGAAGCCCCTAAAAGTAAAGTAAAAAATAAAAATATTTAATAAAAAATTAATTAATAAATAAAAATTAATTTAAAAAAATGAAAAAGTTTCTAAAAAAATAAAATATTAAAATTTGAAAAATTAAAATAAAAACATGTGTGTGTGGGGGGGGAGGTGCAGGGTACAGTTCCAGTGGTTGTTTATATAATGGGGGGGCGAAAAAAAATTTCTGCCCCGGGCGCCCAGAACTCTGGTTACGCCACTGTTGGGTGTTACCTATTTTTAAAACATGCAACTATGGTTTTTGGACCAAATGATTGTCAATGGGGCTTTAAAAGCATAAACTCATTTTAGGCATGTTTTCCATTAACTCGGGTATACTGTATCGGTACTACTGCAAAATGAATTCACTTCTTCCCACAGTTAAACTGTTATCATCACATCAACAGTTAAACTGTTGATGTGATATTTACAGATGCATGCATACCCCTAATCCTAAGCTATATATGGAGAGACCTTGAAGCTTGGGTAAGCTATGTACAAAATGTTGAGGATGGTGACTGGGAAAAGAGTTCCATACTTCACTATGCCTAAATACTGTAACTCCACACAGACAAGCCTGGTTCCCTCACTCAGCCAAAGCTAGCTGCCCCAAATTCTTTTGAATGCAAACTTATTTTTCACCTAATTTGATCCTGTTTTAGTTACTAGATTCTGGGATCATATTTATCATATTAGTTCATTATAAGATAAGTTGCACAAAATAGCTATCACCCCTCAGACCTGTGTTTTCCTGGTCCATTTTTAAATGTCTTGCCCTTACCTCACACAAGGAAACTCATGTACACAATTTACTTTTCTCTCCTAGAAAGTCAATTGAGCTACACCGTCTGGTAAATTAATTTCCATCTCCTATACATAGAATGGATCTTGTAAACCTTTTTTTTATGCTCATCATGGGTACCCAACCAAATTTGGCAATGTATGAGGGAGAATAAAAAAGTAAAGGCAAAATACATTTAAGGGCATTCATAGAAGTAACTGTGAGCACTTGAACATATCACTTTTCCAAATAGTCCCCATGCAAGATAATGCACTTGTTGGATCAACCAACGAGCTTCTGTATTCCTGCAGTGAAAAAGCTTTTTGGCTGCTGCTGAAGCCAGGTGTGCACCACTTGCTTAACTTTATCTTCTGGGGTTAACTTGTGACTGCGGAGTGCCTCCTTCCTTCTGCTCTCTGGGTCATAGTGGTGCACCCATGTATCGTCGCCAGCGACAATTATCTTAAGAATGCTGCAATCTTTTTCATTCCATCTCAAATACTGGATTGCAACATCCACAGGCTGCTGCTTGTGCAGAGCTTGTGCAGGAACCCATTATGCGTAAACTTTCCTGTATCCCAAGTCATCATGCACTAATAGGTTAAATCATGATCCGTAGTACATAATATGTACATAACATGTAGTTGTACTATGGATCTATTAACCTATTCCTGTTAGCAGGGAACATTGTAAATCTATTGCTGCAGTGAATTGGGAATGTGTACTTTACATGTACAGTACATGTAGAATGCACTGCATCAATAGATTTACAATTCTGCACTGCTAACATGAATGGGTTAAATGATCCGTAGTACATAATATGTACATAACATGTAGATGTACTATGGATCATTTAACCCGTTCATATTAGCAGAGGATAATTGTAAATCTATTGTTGCAGTGTATTCTATATGTAGTACATGTACATTACATATAGAGTACACTGCAGCAATAGATGTACAATTCTCCCCTGCTAACATGAATGGGTTAAATGATCCATAGCACAACTACATGTTATGTACTATTATGTACTATAGATCATTTAATCCATTCATATTAATAGGGACCCCCCTTGCCCTCACTCACTGCTCACCATGTGCGGCGCTGTGCGGGAGAGCAGCGACGAGTCAGTGCTGGTCCGGTGGA